CTACTCTGCACTTCAGTCATTTCAATAGCTTAAGAAAAAGCTAATTATATGGAACATAAAGAGACATACCAAGTAAAGTGTTTTACCGCTATTTGTTATTGGGTGAAACCTTGAGAAGGAATCAAAAATAACATATTTTTCTTATACTATATTAGAAAGATCAACAAATTCTTTTATTTTTCTTTCATCTATTTGGAAAATACTGCATAAATACCAGTGAAAAGAAAGGAATGTAAACTATGCAAACTAATTGCTAGTCTTGCCAGAGAGCTGACCTGGGCATTCAGCAGAGTCCGCAGCATTACAGCTCACAGCAGCACATGACATTTCTTTGCAAACCAAACTCCCTATCATGCTTGAATATTGGTCTTTTCCCCAGTAATTGCTGAAAAAATCTTCCTTGGCCACTTCTTAGATAGAGACAAGGGACTTTGATGGCCAAGTTGAAAGCTGGGATGGTGAAACCCCCCCTGCATAGCTCTGGGCACGTAAGCTCCACAGCTGCTCTGTGGGCCATGGTGCTGCAAGGAGGAGAAACTGAGAGAGGTCTTCTGGATCCTGGACTTGCTCAATAACAGCATGGACAAGATTTCCGTATCTTCCAAGTGAAGATAATAGGCCTAGAAAATCAATCCCCACAGATAACCATGAAATGTGTGAAGGACCATGTGATGGGTCCTAGAAGAGAGCTAAATGTAGCGAAAGGATAAATTATGCAAGTACTCTCCTTGGAAAGGGGGTAAAGAGAAGCCAATGGAAAACAGCAATGTGAGATAAGCTTGTCTCCCTCTCTCCCTCCCTCATATTCAGAAGCTAAAAGCTGAAGGTCTTTCTCTTCAATAAAGTAGCAAGTCTAGAGGGCAACAAAAAGCAAGACTTGCTGATTGACAGAGCAGGGCTATCCAAAGGCTTGAGTAACCCTGACACTTGGGTTGCTTCTCGGATCTGAAAACAAACTTCAGGATTTCTTAACATCACCCATTACTACAGCGGATGTAACTACAGGAGAGGCCCAGGTCTGCAGAACAGAAGCAGTATGCCTAGGATTATCAGGAAGATTATCATGAAGGATTAATTGCTGTGCACTAAAAAGTAAAAAAAAAAAAAAAAAAAAAGTCCTTTGACATGTCCTGGTATGCAATTTTTCCAGGTCACACCCTCCACAAAGTCTACAAAGGTCAGGAAAGTCACTTTGCTTCATTACTTTAAATGTTGTGAAGATTTTAATAGTCCTGTTTTGCAACCCAGGTGACAGGAGAAAAGAAAATTTTCAGAGTAATTTCAGAAAGGAACACGTATGGACCTGATACTCTGAAACTGAGCCTTGAAGCAAACCACATTCAATACCTGAAGTTTAAAAAAGAACACAATTTCAGCAGCATGAGCCAAACCCACCTCCATTATACTTATGCTAGCAGTAAATCCGAGTTTATTTGGAATCTTTATAATTTACTCCACTGTCTTTACAATTAGCTTTCTTTCCAAGGAACTTTCAAATGTAAATTTTGGATATGGGCCAAAACTACTACATTTTGTTATAATCTTTCGGCATTCAAAATTTTTGGGAATCATAGGATGGGTCTGGTCAGACCTCTTTCTCTAACTCTACATGTATCTCAGGCAGCCTCACACAACCCATACAGAAGTAACATGCTACTGAAGGTTGGGGTTTTTGCTATTCAGACACATCCTTTAAGTGAAGATTTCCATCCCACTAAACATAAACATATACAGACAAGATGCACGTGACTTGCACTGCCGAGTATTTTTGCTTAAAAAATTATACAAAAGAGCATCAAGGAATTAACGGACCCCCAAGAAAAAAATACTATTTTTTTGTCCTAAGTTCTCTACGCACTATTTTCTGGTATTACATGCACATAAACTTGTGTGATTTGGTTTTTTTAAAGCCACATTTACCTGACCATGCACTACTCCTTTCACAGAAGCACAGTAACACAACTTTTTCTGAAGTGCCTGTTAGGAATACAACCCACATGAGCTCGGAACATTCACAGGTGCTTCAAAAATACTATCGTAGATATAGACTAGATTAGGTATTGGTCACGCTACCTGGATGTTATGCTCCACGTGGAATAGCCCACGTAGAATTCACCAGGAAAGAGTTTTCATTCACTTTTAGAGAAACTACATGGCGCAGCAGTAACTGTACAAAGGCACCACAGCTGACCCCCTGAAAACCACGCTCATCACTTCTCGGCTCCACTCCAAAACAAACCCAACCGGTTTCACCCGAAGTAAACTAACCCTGTGACAACCTGCCCTGAATCTCCCTCTTCTAAAAGCCACCCCGAGGAAAAGATGAGCTCAAACCTACTTTTACGAAAGAATACTGTTTCTCTGCCATAGGTGAAGCATGCAGAGCATTTAAAGGGAACGGGACCGTATTTCTCCCCCCCTCTCGGGAGCAGCACCCTCCGCACCCGGCAGCGTCCCGCAGACGGTGACAGCACCGCAGCATGCTCCCCGCTTTAAAGGTTAGACAGAAACCTCTCTACAGAGGAAGTTAAACTTACAAAGCCGGAGTATTGGAGAAATCGGCACAAGAGAGACACGCTTTCCCCCCCCCCGCCCCCCGCATTCTGCCTCCAGTTACAAAAAGCAGCAGTGAGGGGCACGTTCAATGAAACTCCATCTTTGCCTGATTCTTTTACTTACCCTTCATCTCCCTGCTGTCTGCCGAGCAGCCCAGGCGCAGCTCAACTTTCTGGCTTTCCTTCTCCTCCATTGTCCCTGCCTACCGCCCAAGTTCCCCTCTCCCACTTGGAAGCCGCAGCGCCGGGACAGTCAGCGCCAGCCTCGGAGAGGAGAGAGGAAACTCGCCCTTCCCCGGTGCCAAG